AAGCCCGCGCGGCTCTGGGGGGCTCCGACCCGGGGGAGCAGAGCGAGCTGCCGCTGGGGCGCAGCCAGGTTCCTCGGCCTTTTTAATGCAAATCTGGCGGAGGGGGGCGGAGGGAGGAGCCAGTGCAGAGTAATCCGAGGAGGCTCGGTCCCTACTTTCTGGGGCTGGGTTTCCGCTGAGAATGCCCCTCACGCTCCGGGCACGCCAACCCCGCGGCGCCCCCTCCCCAGCTGCGGCGGCGCGCGCTCCGGGGCCGCGTTAAACCGCACACAAACGGGCGGGCCCGGGGTGGGCGGGAACACGCGAGGCCCCCCGCGAGGCCCTGGCCCGGGGTCGTTTGGTCCCAGCCCCACGTTTCTGCTCCCGCCGCGGGACTGGGGCCCTTTGTGTGCAGGGCTCCAGCCTGGAATTTGCCGGCCCGAGGTAGCCTCAGGGAACCTCGTTTCCTTCCGAGAGTTTTGGCACAGCGCATGCGGCGCGCTCCCCCAGGCCCGGGAGGCGCGTTGCCCCTGCCGCTAAAAGATCCGAATCACAAACAGAGCTGTGGGCAAAAGACGAAATAGCAAGGAAGCGGCGGGGCTGCTATTTCGCTGGGCGAGTGTCTGGAAGTCTCTTCTGGATCACACAGAGCTGCCCGCCATTCCCCGGGTCTGGAGGAGAGACGTCCCTCCTAAATGAACCGGAGGATCGAATCCGCGCGGGCATCCCGGCGCTGGCGCCCCGCGCGCACACAGGGCGCTCTGCGGGGCGGAGGTTGGGCCCAGGGCTCGGTTTGGAAAGCCTGTTGCCCGGCACGAGGCTGGCGGATAGCGTGGCGGGTGGGCAGGGCCGGGGGAGGGGCCGTGGCCCAGGCGGGACCCGCGCGCTCCTCCTTCGCGTGCCGGGGGCGCAGGGCAGGGCGCTGGCCCTGCTCCCGGGGGACTGGGGAGCTGGTGACTGAGCACTGCGGACGGCGAGTTCCAGCTGGAGCCGGCGATCCGGTGCCGAAAGGGAATGAATGGGGGGGAGGGTCCTGGTCCCTAACCGCCCCACACCCTGGCCGAGCCGGAGCTAACCCCGGGGCGCGAGGCCCTTTCCACGTAAGGCGGGTCATTGTTCCTGCCTCCCGGCCACGGAGGCGTCGGGCTCAGCCCGCGGCGTCGCCATTTCTCGGCTCCTGGAGGTGCTGTGACCTTCGTCCCCCACCTCCAAACCCCCGGCCCGCCACCTGCACGCTTTGTGGTCCGGCTGCTTGGAAAAGGGGATTAACGGGTGGGGGGCGAGGGCCCCACTGTGTTGTCGCTGTCCTGCCTGGCCGTAAACGCTCCAGGGAAATCCGGGAATCGGACCCTACGTAGAGGCCCAGCGGCCACCTTCCCTCCCCGTCACGGTCGCACCATCGAGGACGGCCCGGGGGGCAGCAGAAGACCGTTCTCCCCCCAGATCGGGCCCGGGCCTTTCCGTCTCTCTCTAGAGCACCAAGCGGCCTAAAAGCCCCCGCCCTAACTCGGGCTACCTTGCAAATAACCCCCGAGGGGAGGGAACACAGCAGACCCCGGAGTTAACCAGCGCCCGAGCGCGGAGGGATGCTAGGACTTGAACCCGCGAGTGGGGGAGGACCCTGTGTCTCCGCCGCCCTCAGACCCCAGCGCTCTCCCTGGGTCACCTCCGACCCGCAGATCCCCTCGCTGGGGGCTCGAGGAACCTTAAGCCGGGAGGGCTGATTTGAGGCCCACCAGCGCGGCCGCACTCCGGGAGCAGCCAGGGACCCCGGCGTCTGGCTG